ACAATCAAGGGGAGTGTCTCAGCCTTAGCTGATACCTGAAATTAGCCTGCCAGCCCCTCGCCTCAGGCGACAGAAGGACTTGTCCTCCTTAAGATATAAACCCCTCCTCTTCCTCCTCTCCCACCCCCTCCTCTCTCATAAGCGGATCCCAGATGGCTAGTGAAGGGGCACAGAAAACAGGAGCAGAAAGGACCTAGAGCACCCAGATATTTTGTCTTACAGAAACTAGAGTCTGGAGCGGAGCGGTTTCACTCAGTCACTCGGCCTTCGGCAAATATCCCACAGAGACCTGAGCTTGGGACATCCTCTGCCGCTCAGGTGGAGGAGCACCTCCCCAGGCAGGTTTCAGGGCTGCAGCCCAAGTCCCCACATTGTCCGGGTGGGTGGAGAGCTCTCCTTTCCCTGCTCCTGGCTTCTCTTCTCATCTGCATCTAGTCACACTCTCTCCTGAAGCTGGCACGGGCCTGGAACCACTCCACCTTAAAAAAAAAATAAAAGAAGAAGAAGAAGAAGAAAAGAAAAAGAAACCTGAGCCTGGGGTTAATTGGCACCCCAGTCCATGCCCTCCCTCCGGACTGATGTCCCTTGGGGGGGGCAGTGAGGGTGTCATATTAACCTCTACAACCTGCAGGAGGCAGATTATGAATCTGCTATTGAGGAACAGTTTACTTTTGAAGTAAGGTCTCCTCCCTCTGTTGCCTAGGCTGACCTCCAACTCTTGAGCTGAAGAGATTTTTCCGCCTCAGCTTCCCAAACAGCTGGGGATTTACAGGCAAGAGCCTCTCACTGCCTGAAGGAAGTATCTGATATTAACTTGAGAAACCGAGGCAGGGAGCCGCAAGGTGCTGCAGCATAGCCACATTTGCCAGTTCGACTCAACATACGACCACATTTGCCAGTTCGGCTCGACGTTCTGAACATACGACCGGGCCACCCCCTGTGCCAGGGCCAGGTTCCAACCTTTTCCCTCAGTTCTTGCCAGGGCTTGTGAAAGGACCTGGGGGCCGCCCTCCACTGACCCTGCCTCAAGGCCGGGCACAGCCCCACTCTTCGAAGGCGGAGGATGGCGCGATTTCCACCCTGCCACATTAGGGGAAGGGAGCAGATCACAGGAGGCCGCTGCCCCGGCCAGGTAGACGCGGAGGGGTTGGTTGGCCAGGCGCCTCTGGAACCCGGCGGGTGCCCTGGGGTGAATACGCGCTGCAAAGAAGATCCGCGCTGGAAAGGGGGGTTATTTCCCAGGGACCCGGGCTGCAGGGTCGAGGCGAATCGAGGGGAAGGGGTCAATTAGAAAGGACAGGGAGGACCAAAAGGAGGCTCGATGGCAGACTCCGCCCGAGCTGCTCGCCCTCCGTGGTTCTGCGCCTCAGCCGCCGCACCTGGAAAGCCCGCTTGTGCTCGTCGCGGGCCGGACGTCCAAGCTCAGCAGTGCCGGGAGTGGTCGGCTGCAGGGCTGTTTGGGGGCGTCTAGGGAGGGTCCCTGGGAGCGGC